AAATGGAGAAAAACTGCAGAAAGTTGCTATACAAATCGACTTTGGGGCACTTGTGAATTAAACATAGAAAGCTAGCTCACAGGTGCAGCAGGTAATCAGGAAGGCTCATGGAATATTGATCCTTATTTGAAGGGAGATGGGAGTCTATTAGTAGGGAAATCTCATTGCAATGTACAAGGTGCTGGTGAGACCATATCTGGAGTACTGAGAGCAGTTTTGGTCCCATTATTTAAGGAAATATATCATTTCACTAGAAGCAGCTCAGAAAAGTTTCATTAAGATGATCCCTGGTATGGAGGGTGTTTTTTTATTAGCCAAGGCTAAACTGTTTGGGATTCTACTTTTTAGAGTTCAGAAGAATGAGGGTTGATCTCGTTGAAACATATAGGATTATTGAGGGACTTGACAGAGTAAATGCTGAGAAGATGTTTCCGCGCATGGGAGAGTGTAGGACCCAAGGACATAGTTTCAGAATAAAGGAGCACCAATTTAAGACTTAGATGAGGAAAACTTTCTCCTCTCAGGCGGTTTGAGCTGGAGATGAAGAAGATGAAGTCCAGTATGCAGCACTGCGAGAGCTTTCCACTTCTGTTTTGCCCTCTATCCCGAGGGAAATTGAGAAGCAGTTGCAACGATTAGAGGACAATGACTACAATGCAGAACGCAGCAGGGTAGCAGTTTGTGAAGTAAGATCTTCTTTGGTACCCTATGAACTGCTTCTTCATGAAAGAAGAAAAAGGCCAAAGCAGAAAAAAAGTGAAAGTCTTTTTAAGCCAACTCCTAGGTAACAGTCAGAAGACAATGAACCATAGCCATCCACTTCTGGATTAACCATTTATCACCCTAACCCTGAAACCACAACTGCACCTTGATGATGATGATGATGATGATGATGACAATATCGGCCCCTACATTAACAATAGAGCTACCTCAGAACCTCCACCCCCCATCAAATCATCTTGACATTTTTTTCAAGATAAGGTGATAAATTTACTGTTATGTCATTATGACATGTGAATTAAACATTTGTTCAAACTGTGCTATCCTTTGTGTTATGCTTTTGCATGATTTTTGAGTCATTTTAACTGATTTTTTTGTTGGTCTGCCCCAACCACTCCTTTTCCCATAGGCCCCATTATTTTACTATAACGCATTGTTTCACAGCAACGCATCTATTGCATTATCACAGAACCCCCTGTATGTTCAATGGTTGACCTCCATATAAAAGACCACTCAAACCACTGAATAAGAGAAAGGAAAAAGAAGAGAAAACTAATGATCCATCAAGTCAATTTTTACTTCAGAAGATGACTTGTTCAGTATTACTGTCAGCTGGGATCATAACAACCTAAATGCTTTAGAAGTGGAATAGAGAGGGTTCACTTGACTGGTGGGATAGGGCTTATGAGGAAAGGTCTAACAGGTTGTGTCTGTGTCTGTTAGAGTTTAAAAGAGTAAAAGGTGCTCTTATTGAAGCATATAAACTCCTGAAAAGACTTAACCGGGTGGATGCTGAAAGGATGTTTCCATTCGTGAGAGAGAACAGAACTAGGGGACACTTAAAAACAAAGGGTCTCATATATAAGATGGAAAAGAGGAGATTTTGTTTCTTTTGTAAGGTTGCGAATCTTTAGAACTCTTTTCCCAAAAGAGTGAATGAGGCAGGGTCATTGAATATTCTTGAGGCAAGGGAAATAGATTCTCAACTAACAAAGATTATCATGGGTAGTAAGGAAGGTGGATTTGAGGCCACAATCGGATTAATCATATTCTTGTTGAATGACAGAGTAGGCCCAATTGGCTGAATCGCTTATTTCTGCTCTTAATTTGCATGTTCATATGTGCATTCAGATGGACATAAACTAACCATGCCCCAAATGCCTCACTTGGTGCCAGAGGTTAGCATCTGCTATGTTGCTAAGATCCATGTCCCTAGTGTGTACGATATGATGTGATTCCAAACAATGCAATGAGTCTGATAGCATGTGAAAAGGTGATGATGAAATTTCATGTCTGTGCTAGCTGACTACTGCCGTAGATACTGCCAAAACAACAACAGATTTGTTGCCACCTTGATCTGATGGGTTCAGTTTCCATGGTGTGGGAGTGGAATCTCTGGTCACCTCTATGGGCCAAAGGTGGAAAGCCAGAGTGACAGAATGGATTTGCGAAGGGAGTACCAAAGCTTAAGGCCTAGGCATCTGAAGGTATAACTGGCAATGGTGAATCAATGAAAACCGGGGCTGGGCAAGAGGCCTGAATTGGAAGAATGCGGCAATTGTGGAGTATTTTTGGCAATTCCAAAGATCTTCATCATTAGCAGCTGGTTGTGCTCCCAGGTGAGGAAGGAAGAACTGCTCCTCCTTTTTACACAATCTTTCTCTTAACTGGTTAAAACAAGGCTAATTTAGAAAGAATTCCACGGATACCTTTTCCCAATCCAATGTATTTATGCTTTAAAAGGAGCCAAATTAACAATGCTTTCTTCAGTTAGAGAATGGTTGCATTTATTAGCTAGCAAATGTGAAGAAAATGCAACACACCTGGAGAAATTAGAAATGTGAATTGAATAAATGGATAATATTTAAAAAGAGATACAAATCTATTGGTTGGTTCCATGAAGAGTAGGTAGTGGAAATTTCGGCTGTTAAGTTGGATGGCAATGCTGATTTGGTAGAGAAATAGTTGAATTCAAGATATTTATTTCTGTAAGTTAGCCAACAGAATTTTGTCCTGTTTCTTTTTGATGGTGAGTTCACTGGCTTGTCTGGCTTCCAGCACTTAGAGAAAGAGTGTTTCCTAACCTGCAGTGCAGAGGTGTCTAATTGCCGTCCACAGCACACTAGTCCACACCAACACATCAGTCAATGACACATACAGATCAGAGGTTGCAGCTGGCTTTTAATGATTTTTTGCATATTACTGGAAAGGTAACACATGAACATGTCTTAATTATGAACATAATCTGCATGAGATGGCTTTCTGCTTTGGAGCAGTCAGCCATGCACTCCAGTTTATTTTGAACTACATCTCTCCCTTTGAAGTACTGTTATTCGAAGTTGCCTTTGCACCTTTTCTGGTATGACAGCCTATGGTTCCTCTCAGGACTTTGGCAGACAGTTCTGAGTTTACATCCACAGTCATCTTTTGGCTGCATGTCTTCTTTTAAAAAACACATGCTGTGATTAGGAGTTCAACATGTTCATAAGTGATCCAGTGTTGTGGTCTGTTTTCATGACAACTCACAAGGCAAACATTAAGGATGCTACACTGTAATACAAAATAAAAGGCACAAAATGACACAACTTGGAGATTTTTTTGCAACTGTATTTCCACCAACCACACACTGTACTCTTTGGGATGAACCCTAACGATAAGTCCTCTGCATGGTAGACAACCACATTCAGAAGTGTAGTTTTACGAGGAGTTAAGAGTAATGACCTATCTAGACCTTCATTTGGGAGTCCAAACAACACACACATAAAATCTTAGTTGGCATCATCAATCCAGTGATAGCAGCTAAGCACTAACATTGGACAAATTATAGATTTCCAAAACCAAACTATTAATGCTACTGATTCGACAGACAGTTTAATAATTACACTATATATTATATCTTCTCTGTTGCCTTGGCATTTATCTGATTGCATTGAATCATGGAATAGAGTCATACAATTCCATTGAGCCCAGAATTTTACACTGTACTCCAACTCTCTGATATTATACAGATTCTGCATTAAATTCCAAATTCATATTCCATATGTCTTGCCATGAAATCCAATTTTCTATTTTGAATAGTCCTACCTGTTTGTAGCTTTGCCTCGAATTTTTCTGAATGTGAATCCTCAAATCCAACTTGGATAAACAACAGGCCAGATGGATTAGATAGTTCATGATAATTTCTTGATGAAATTGTTTACTATTGTCTTAACTAACCTCTCTGAAATTCCTGGATGCTTACAGCATCCTTGCCTTGCATTGCATTGCCTTGCCTTGCCTTTTTGTGCTTTGCCCCTCAGCCAGAATATACCACACTCAGATTAATTCTGTCTCCGTTGCCTTTGTTGTAAGGAAGTTTGTTGTAGTTGTTAGCAGGGCTCAGCCAAGTCATTGGGCCATTGCATAACAGCTCACTTAGACAAGGGCAGTCTCTGAGACAAGACTTTTGCCTGCTTGGAGAAGCCTGATTTAGAGTCCTCTGTTAATAAGTGTTGAGGAGCAGAATATTGACAGTCCAGCACCTGTCTCATAAATTTCTGCCCCACTACAGGCTGTTTTCCTCCCAGAGGCAGGTATTAAGAGAGATGAAAGTAAATGACAAAGCAGTTATTTTTCCACGATATTCTGCTGAGTGGTGGGTTGGGTAGGGAATGGCACATGAGGCCAGAATCGAATGTGAGGGATACCATAGTAAATCTCCCCTGCATCCTCTCTTCATAATACAGAATCCAGCAGTCATCCAGAATTTTTTAAATCATCAGAGAGCGATTTTCAGCTGGAAGTTAACAGTGAGCTACAAAGCAACATTTGTATGACAAGAACTTTCCTGTCAGAGTTTGAATTAATTTGACATAAAGTGATTAACATCCAGATAATTTTAGAATGTAACAGCTTGCATAAAACAAAACGACAATAAAATTTGTGTAAAAATCTGAATAAAAGTGGTCTTCGTAGAACGGGTGGTGTCGGATTGAGGTGGTTGTCTTTTAGTTAAACATATCGGAGTGAAGATGAGTAGTCATCAGCTAAATCCCACTTGTTCTGGAGAGAAGATTCAATCACTAATAAAGTTCCTGTTCCACAGCTCTTCCAGCTCTACCACAAAAGGACATGCCTGTATTACACTGCAGATTCTGAGACAGTTTTTACTTCATGGAACACAACCCATTTGAGAATCTTGCGGTGCTGTGTGGTTTTTTTTGCCAGGACACTTGCAGACGTAATACAGTAGTATTAGGTTACAGGAGAGTAAACACTTTGTCCCAAACACCACTCAGGAGCAGCAGCAGGCAGCAGGCAGCAGCCACATATCAGGTTAAGAGCCACCTCCACTTCATTCAAGGGAAGCTCCTGGTTCAGATAAATGAGCCTCCCTCCTGGAGTCCTGAATTCCATCATCACTGACCTACGTCTTACTACTTTGGACCATTTCAGAGGGTAGCAGCTGAGGGTGAGTATTTGGGCTTTGGATTTGTTTAAAGCATCTGGAGGCATTAATTCTTTGGCTTTTATCAATATAAAATTACAAGCCAAGCAATCAACTACTCAAGTGTCAATCTTGTTTAACTGTTCTTGGTGTCAAATTCTTCATCATCCTGCATGAATGACAGCAACAATGAATCAGTTCAGACAATTTTTTTGTGTGGCAAATGCAAAACTGATAGTGAAGGCATTTGCTCATTAATAATAAAATTAATAGCTTTAATCACGCTTGACCATAAAAACCTAAATTCTATACAAGGACAAAAGGAAGAGCAAAGAACAAACTGTTCTACCTTTAAACTTAACAGGGAGAACGCCAGGAGCTTCATTCAGCCATGTAAAATAAGACCCAGAAAGATACCGTGTGCTAAACAAAGTAAAATCGCTTGCCTGCTTTTGTAACTTTAATTATCTCAACTCTTTATTTGCAAAAGTGCTTATGCAACAGAAACTTATGCTCCTATAAAAAACAGTGGAGGAAATCACTGATAAGCCCATCATATTTTATTTACATTTAAAAGAAGAAACTATTTCTGAATCTGAGGTAATCTCAGGTGTTCATTAAAATAAAAGTTGACTTGACTACAGTCTTTGAGGAGCTAGTTTGACTCCAATTTACAGTCTTTGAGCCACATTGAGTATATTGGCTATTAAGAGTCACAAGGCTTCACTGTAGCTTGTCTGTCTCAATATTTTACCTTTTGGCTTCAGACTTTATGTGAAGAGGCCTGAAAAGGAAACCAGTGTGAAAGACATGGGTTGCGCAGCAGTCCTCTGGTCCCAAAGGAATTTCATATAGTCATGACTAGAGAAACACCATACACAGACCTGCTTTCATGCAGCAAATTTTGTCTGTAAATAGAAATGCAATGAAAAAAAGTAGCCAGCCTGCATTGACTGAATATAATTTGTTATATATGTATACAAGAAGGTGTTGTTTGAAATGGAAACAATTTTCTGAAGAAACAAGCATTTGAGTTATATTAGCTTTGTCCTAAATAGTTTCTTTCCTTCAGTAAAATTATATCCTTGCTTTATAAATTTGCAAAGAATAAGTACTTCATTATGACAGGATCATAATCAAGCTATAGCAAAAGAAACTGCGATGAAATTTTAGCTTCGCAAATTATAAATAGATCTCTTGTAACTTATTGTAATAGAGCATTGCCATTCTCTGGAATATTAATGGAACAATTTATTTATTTCTTCAAGAGTCCAAGAATGAAGACCTTTGCCTCTGTAGTACTGTCGGGACTTCTAATCCTTGAGGTTGTTCTTGCTGCCCCTACAAAAAATGAGGAGAAAGCAAGGAAATTGAAACAGACACAATCATTACCCGTTGATCTTTTAGAAGAACATGGTTATGTGAATCAGGATCCAAGAAATTTCTTTGAGTATAAGGATGACCTGATTATTGACGAACCACTGGTAATGAATGGTTTTATCTTTTCCGAGGACAAATGATCTGTTACATACTTTTGTTTCTAACTCTGCAAAATTAAGTTCCTATCACTTTAACTATTCAATAGTGGGCTTTGTCACTGTGCCAAATATAGCTACCTCATTTTGAAACTGGCAATAGCTTGTAGGGAATATTATACAGATTGCCCTGTGTCGGTGTTGTTTATTAAATTAGCCTTGATTCCAGTGGGATAAGTGGTTAAATTAAATGAGTCATTCAGGGTTAGAGCTAGCTTTGACTGAATATATCACATTTCTTTTGATAAAGTCACAAAACAGAGTCATAATAACTTCTGTTGATCTATTGTCGGAGAATTACGATTGTTTTTTTCATTCATGATAAACCAATAATCATGATACCATAGAAAAGTAAATACTACAGCATGTGACAGTTTTACTCCCCAGCAATCATTTTATTCCATGGAAGGAATGAAGGTACTTTTGGACTATTATATGATATAATGTATTCCTCTTTAAAAATAATTCTGCTGCAGTCTAGTTTAGACAGTTTTCTATTTTAGAAACCTTTTCTAACGAACCGAGCAGTGCTGATTCCTGAGCTTGTTTCTGGAACAGTTGTTTCAGTTGAATTACAACCTGAATTCAACAATTTGATTCTGGAATGTGACCTTTTTGACCAGCAAGGTGGGTTCAACACTAATGAACCAAAGATGGCAAGGTTTAAGTCACTGCCTACATACAGCTCAGGAATTATAGACAGTCAGACGTTCCTGCTTCACAGGCTGTCAATTAAGCTCACCAGTCTGAATTCCTGCAGTTTCAGTTGGGGGTGGAACATAGCAACAGTTTCCCATTGCCCAAGTATCTGAGAAAAATAATTAGAATGACCCTTCCGCTCCTAGTAGGTGGCTGCGTCAGATATTTGATAAATGTTATAGATTATAGTTGAAAAATATCGTTATGATTGAGTACTTGCTGCTCCCAAGTTGTAAGTTGTTCCAAGCAAAAGAATATGATATCAAAAGGAGCATTTATTGATTGAGTTTAAAATGTAGTTACAAAGTACTGTAAACAATGTAGCAAACCTGGCCAAGATTACACTCCCATTAGCAAGCACTACAACTTCTATCTTCATGATTCAAAATTAAGTGGAGATATCAGCTTGAAAATGTAATTTAAAAAAGGTACTTACACCCGTTATAGCCAAAATGCAAGGAGGTTGAATGCACTTAGAACAAAATAAATAAATAAATTTAAATGTTTAAGTATCTCAAGACTCTTCACATAATACATGTAACTTGAAGACATTAAAATGCTGTGTTCTACTATTAAAATGAAAAAAAAATTAAAATAGGCATTTGATGGAAATCCTGAACCAATAGAGATTAGCGTTAAATAAATGTCAGGAAATTTGTCTGGCCATTGAGGTAAAAAAAAACTGCCCACAAATGCAAAGTGCAATTTCTAGGAACGGCTCAGTTACTCAAGCACATGTATATATACCTCTAAAAATCAATAAACCACTACACCAACTTTCCATCATCTGAGGCTTACTCTGCAACACATTTCACACCAACATGTGGCTTTATATTCATTCATGTTTTGCTAATCAACAAATCCTTCATACACAACAAAATGACCACAAACAAGACTGACAGTCCCTTCTAATATCACTGCAACAGCCCAAATCATAAACCCGCACATACTGGGCTAAGAGACATAGCAAAGTCACCAAGGTAACGGGAACTTATAAACTTTAGGGTATAAACCCAATAAAATGATAACCCACTGGGTTTCAAGTTTTACCTTCAAAAACTTAATTACGGTGATAATCTGCCTTTTGCTAATCTTGTATGTCATCAAAGACAATAAATTTCCAGTGCAAAAATATAACAGTGTGTGATTACCTGACTCAGTGCAAGATCAATAGAAAATATTTACATCTATACACTGTCTTTCATGATCTCAGGATGTCACAAAGCACTTTACAGGCAATTAAGTGGAATTGTATAATAATCGCAGCACAAGAGGAGGCCATTTGACCCATTATGTCCCTGCTGTCATTCTGCAGGAGCATAATTATAACGTACTTTTCAAATGTAGATACTTTTGAGGTGTAGCAAATGTGGAAGCCAATTAAAACAAAAGAATGTGACAATGACCAGATAATCTGTTTTGGATGTTGATTGAGGGTCAATTATTGTTCTGGACATCAGAGATAATACTTCTGCTCTTTGAAACAGTATTATAGGACTTTTTACATTTACCTGAGAGAGCAGACAGAGCATAAGTTAATGTTTCGTATAAAGATCGACACCACCAATAGGACAGCACGACCTCAGTTTGATGCTAGGGTGTCAATTTAGATTTATGTATGCCGGTCACTGAAGTGGAGCCCGAAAGCACAACTTTCTTGGTGCACAAGTAAGATTACTGCTCCTCTGCCACAGCTGACAGAATCTTATAAAATGCACAGAAAAATGACACAAAATATCTTGAACATGACAGTCACCAATCCTAATGAAAACATTACCTTTTTCAAAACCGGCAATTATCACTGAAATATTCAACAAAAACAACTAACAAATAAAGCAGCCACAAATACATTCCAAATTTTTCTCTGTTTTACTTTTGACAGACTGGTTTACAGACCAATGTGATTTTCTGTCTTTATTATTGTTACAACAGTTGTTTAACTTTTTATCAGATTAACAAACTCACTGAAACAGATGGAAATTTAACATCAATGATTAAACCAGTATTAAATCATGTCACAAAACTGAATTGAAACCAATATAAGATTAAAACAAAAATCCACACAAATGTCTTATTGATTTTAGAATATGTTGCAATTAAGGAAAAACATTTTGAAAATGTTTTATTCCTTATTTAATAACTCACCTTTCAACAAAAGAATGCTGAGATTTTAAAAACGTTCTTTCATAAATTTCCACACCCACAATAGCGTCATTTCTGCCCCTCTTCAAACACTTTGCAACTTCATCGTCCCAGCTCCAGTTTCAAGTTGACCCTGCAACAATGAGCAGAACTAAGCCACTGGAGTCCATCAACTGTATCATTCCACTAACTGCTGGGTGTTCCTCAAAGCTGGTGGCAAGCCAACAGAAAATAATTCAAATTGGTTAAAAATAAATTCAGATTGACCGTATCGTGCAAAGTTAGGAGCCAGTATGATTTTTAAAGTAAGGACAGAGCTCACGGTTGCTGCCAATTTAAAGAACGTGGTCCTGCAATGCTGGTGAGCTGTTGGAGTGGCATCAATCTTGAGTCATGTCTCTGCCTCTGAGCTAGAAGCTCAAAAGTTTATTCCCAGTTGAGTACTTGATGTCATGGAAGATGTATTCAAAATGTGACTGAACAGGTTGGTTTTGTGAGTGTAAATCCTTCCTGTACACCAATGGCAGGCATAAAAGTAGGAGGCCCTGTTCATCTACACTTGTTACTGATTGTCAACCCTCGACCTATTGGCTTTAGTGACCTGTTCCAGTCACGGAAACACATATAAGCATGACTGCCTTATGCATCCAGGAGATTTTAAGTTTTATCCTTGTAGTAAATGGAATTGCTGAAATGAGATTACATTTCAATCCTTATTAACAAAAATTCAACCTTGGCTTTATGAAAGCACCAAACCCCACTCCCAGCTATGACTCAGAATGTTCAAGCCCCACTTCAGAGCTTTATAAGTTGACCCTTCATTGTAGTGAGTGAGTCATTTAGATGGTAAGGCCCTCTACGTTCCGAGATAGTTGTAACAAATTCCATATTGTGAGGTCTTGGTCAATATTCCTGGCACCAACGCCGACCCCCCTCCACCCCTTCATCTTTGATCTACACTGTTTTGTCATTAATTTAATTGCAATTTGTGAAAGTCCTGACCTTGATATGGAAGTATCATGAACTATGTGCCTAAACCGCTTGAATGTAAGAGATGAATTGCAATTTTAGAAACTGGCACCAAATCTTGAATATTACAATTTGATTGTCTAAAATAGCCTAGTTCTGCTTAACTTGCAAATCAAAAGCGATTTTATTTTGCTGTTAGAGGCATGCAACCTTAGGAAGGACAATGCAATGCCTTCTCTGTTTGTGGCATTTTATCAATCTCAAGTACTAATCTGAAACTCTGACTATGGGAAGTTGAACCCTAGTAACAAAATGACTTATATTTTAGCTTGTTAGGGACTTATGAAGTTTCTGGGTGGAGAATAATTCCAGAATGACTGAACCAGCACTCTCTCCCAGCAAAAAGATGAGGCCAGAAAATCATTGCATCAAATCGTAACCAATTAGAATTTTTGATTAATAAAGACAAATTACTTTTTTGACTGTTGAAGTTCACATTAATCCATGACGTGCAGCAGATGTCTTTACAGAACTTAGGCACTGCAATATTTTTTTAAATATTCAGGATCACATTTGTTAGGGGAAGGCAGACTCATTCCCAGATAGAAATAAATTAAGAACAAAAACAGAAGTAGCTGGAAAAGCTCAGCAGATCTGGCAGCATCTGTGAAGAAAAAATAAGAGTTAACGTTTTGGGTCTGGTGACCCTTCTTCAGAACTAATGGTGGCTGGGAAAACTAAATCAAGTCCACTATGACTTCTTTAGAACTAGACTCTAAAAATTAAATCTAGTTTCTCTCTCTTTAGGCGCTGCCAGACCCACTGAGTTTCTCCAACACTTTGTGTTTTTATTTCAGATTTCCAGCATCCACAGTATCATGCTTTTCCTCAGTCCCAATCTGTCTTGCAGCTGCCGATCTCAGTCAGAGAGATTATCAGAGCACTGGCTTCAGTATTGCAGTGCCTAGGTTCTGTAAAGACATCTGCTGCATGTCATGGAGTATGGAAATCAGTGAAATTTCCATGGTCCTGTGCAGCTGTGCAGGCCTCTGCTGCAAGTGAGCGTCTGCATCCAGTGAGGTCAGAAATGCCAGCAGGCATTTCATTTTTATTCTTCCATGGGAATGTGAGTGTTGGAG